AAATTTGTTTAGGAGAAATTAGGTGACCATATTTAAAACAAGAAAAAATAATTTTTCAGTCATAAGTCCTAGTCTGGATGTGACAGTCTGATTTTTTTTTTGGGGGGTGGGGGGAAGGGTCTACAGGGTATTCAGGGTCTCACTACTGGATCGGACTCGTAGTGATTCTCCTGTTTACAGCCTCCAAGAGCTGGGATTACAGGTGCACATCACCACACCCAGTCTCAATTGCCATCTCAGTGTGCCCCCAGGGCAAGGCTGGCATGGCAGGCTCGGTGATTGAACCCCTGGCCCTGCGCCTGTTTGCAGGCACTTTAATCTGCTGAGCTATTTGGCTGGCCCTGTGACAGTCTGAAATACAGGGTAATGTTGAGAAAGTCTAGAAAATTTGTTTTGCTGGTTTTGGGGGCCAGTGAAGAGACTGCTGCAAATTAATTACATAGCAAATTAGGTTTTGAGTTTAAAAGAAACAGTTTAAATGGAATATTTAATCTACGTGAAAGCCTGGCATCTCTAAGAAGCATAATTTGCTCACAATGTCATTATCAATGTATAGAACCTCATTTACCCTGAAAAGAAAACTTAAATTCAATCTAATAAAATAATGAAATTAATTCCTAACAAAGAAACAAGGCTAAAATTTAAAAATATTTTACCTTCTAAAATTTTATTTTATTCATTTTTTCCTGAAGTTACTGTTAATATGCTGGTTTTTAAAAATTACATAATGATAGGTTACTCTGAATATTAATAGAGTTTATGAGTCATTTAGATAGTCATAACTTGTTCAATATTTATATGTAGTCTGATCACAGGAAAATTAAAAGTATGTTAAATTTCTGTTTATATTGTATCTGTTTTTCAAAATTAAAAACAATTCTAATTTAGTGTGAAATATTTGTTGTCAGTATTGAATTTAAATTTTATTCTCATTCAGCTCCAGAAATCCTGAACTACGACCCCATCACCACAGCAACAGATATGTGGTAAGATCCTACTAGCTGCCCAGCAGCAGCATTGCATAGTGCATATTCTGGCATTCTTTCATTCTAAATGTAAACCAGAAAACTCCATTTAAAAGATTTTTTCAAGTATCACTTGTTATGCCACAGCAAAATATTGATCTGCCCGTCTTTTTAAAATAACACTGAGTCTGCTGACCAGAGGCTCAGAAACGCATAGGAAGATCCCTTTTGGTGAGGAAAACTTGCTTAAATACGAGAACAAAATAGGCCTGTGCGGCGCTGTGCTCTGTGATGAAAGGCGGGTGCTCAGCAGCGGGCGCCTGACCGAGGCCGAGAGGAGTCAGGCAGAGCTGCTGGCTCGGCAGAGAAGGGGGGCCAGGTGCACTCCCGGCAGGGTTTTGCTGGGGCGCAGTGCCGTCAGAAGCAGCTGCATCCATAGTTTAAAAGCACCAGTTTTAAGAACAGGCATGTGTAGCATATGGATTGCACCTTATATAAATATTTTAAAAATTAATTTTGAGTTCTTCTCTCTTATTTGCTTTTTAGGAATGTTGGCGTAATAGCGTACATGTTGCTAACTCACACTTCACCATTTGTGGGAGAAGACAATCAGGAAACGTATCTGAACATTTCTCAAGTTAACGTAGATTATTCAAAAGAAACTTTTTCATCAGTTTCACAGCTCGCCACAGACTTCATCCAGAGACTTCTAGTGAAAAATCCAGAGTAAGTAATAACATTAATCTCTTTCAGTACCATCGCAAAATGACATGTGCCTATTCAGAAAGGTACATTCTAAAGTGGTATCATATTCCTAAGACATATGCTCAAATTTCAGATACAGTAGAAAGATGATTGATCTCCCTGCCAGTGTTGGCACAGGCTAGTGGCCAGCCTGTAAGATGTGGCCCCCAAGGTCCTGCCTGGAGCACGTGCTATTTATAGGGTGCGAGGGTTTGGGAAAACCCAAGTCTCTTGGCATCCTTCCGTTGGCCATCAATGACAGTAAAATTAATAATAATATCTACTGTCTTGGTTTCTCATAATTCTAAAATATTCGAAACATATACATAGAATTCCCGGCATAAAACTAAGCACTCAATAAACGTCAGCTGCTGCTGTCACTGCTAGCCTCCGCTGCATTATTTTGATGTTATACTATGACTATGTGTTATTCTCATAATTATTGAAAAGTCGTCTATAATCTATCAAACTGAAAGCATTTGCAACTTGCCTTTAATGTCCGGTTTTCCCCTGGTGCTTTCTTCAAAGGAGCAGACCCAGCGCAGAAACCTGCCTCGCCCACTCGTGGCTGCAGCAGTGGGACTTTGGAGGCTTGATCCACCCTGAAGAGACTCGCAGCTCCTCCCCTCCAGTTCAGGACCATCCAGTGAGGGCCTCCGAAGAGAAGGCCGCCCGATCCTGTTGTAGCGGACCCTGTGGCAACCGGGAAGACAAGGAGAACATCCCAGAGGATGGCAGCATGGTTTCCAAGAGATTTCGCTTCGATGACTCTCTGCCCAGCCCCCACGAACTCGTTTCGGATTTGCTGTGTTAGCACTTTTCTCTCTGACTCTTTGGGACTGACTTGGAAATTTGAAATCCACTCCAGTGAGGACTGTGGGCACAGCTTCGTATGGATAGGTTTATGTTGTAAATGCACTTTTGCATAGAAATTTTAAGGAAGCATTTTTAAAAATGCAAAATTTCTAATTGCTAGCAAAATATTATTTCCTGTCTTGAGAAAGCTCCATAGAGAAAAATATTTAAATATATGACAAAAAGTTGAAATTATATATGTGAGTTCACATGTAAGTGAATGAATTCAAGTTCAAATGAACTTAGATTTTTGCATATCAAAAAGTGGTTTGGGTTATATAATGGTTGTTACTGAGCAAAATCAAAGCATTTGAATGCGTTCTGCCTCTGAGAGCCACACACTCTGACTCTGCTGACAGTTTGCTTAGGAGAACAGTATCAATGTTCAGCCAAATCTGTACTATATAGATGCCCCAGGGACGTTTTACAACTGAGAGTGGTTTTCACTTACAAGTAAGCTGCATTTCGATTTCTGTCACATGTGACTTGCTGTGTGAACCTCGAGCACAGAGAGCCGGAGCCAGGTAGCGAGCTCCCCGCACCACTCGGGGGGCAGAGCAGCGAGCGAGTCCGCATTCTTGGGATGGCTAGAGGAGAAGACGCTTGGGTGGAACTGACAGTGCTCAGTGCTTAGCTAAGTCTGTTGAGCGAGGGAGGAAATGTTGACAGACTCAGGCAGCTTATTCAGCTTTTGATGTTTCCTAGAGCCTAGCATATAAGCCCGTAGGGCCAGGGAGATGGCTCGGTGGCACAGCGCCTGCCTGGCAAATGTGAGGTCCTGAATTCAGTTCCCGGTACAAAAAAAAAAAATACAGACCCATCATTATGGCCCTAAAATATGCATAGAAAACCACACAACCAGGTGTGGCGCTCCCCTATAATTCAGCACACAGGAGGCTGAGGCAGGAGATTCACTGTGAGTTCGAGGCCAGCCTGGGCTACCTAAGCAAGTTTAAGACCATTCTGGACCATATAGTGAGACCCTGTCTCAAAGAAAGGAAACGCCACACCACCTCCTAGGCTAGCAACACAAGGCCACATCTGCAGTAGCAAGGCCAGTGTGACAGGAAGAGTTCTGGTCTGAAATTCCTGGTGCACACACACAGAGGCCGAGTGACTCTCTGCAGGGCCTGTAGGAGGCTCTGTGCCGGGAGGGGGACAGGGGCCTGAGTTGCAGCCCGTACTAGTTCAGGCCTGATTCGGGGCGAGTGGGGAGCACTTGTATTTCTACCTGATAATCATTAAAAAATTTGCTACAGTATGATGTAAATGTAACTGTGGTCCCATAACCATGCAATTATGTCAGCTTGTGTGTTGTACATTACAAAGAGAGACCACTGCAGATTTCTGAGTCAGATATTATTGTATAGACCTATACAGTATGGGAGTTGTGGTGACTGCAAGTTCTTTAGAGAGCTTTCTTGTTTCATACCCATGGCTTGTTTTGATAAAATGGTGAGTTCTTTTAACACCTGCATTTTTTTCAAAGAAAAGTTTTTCTACTGTGTGTATACACACACGTGTATATGTATATGTGTACATATAGATAGACAAATACAGTCTTTAAACAGCTGTCTGTTGAGCAGTCTTCGCTCTCCTGGCTTGTACTCACCTCAGGTGCCAAAGGCGCTCTCTTTTCATGAATAAGAGATAGATGCACCGGACCTTGAAGGAGCCGTTCGCTGGCCCTGTGGACACTGCAGATACTACAGTGAGCTGCTGTGCTTCTACAATTGAGTTATTTTTAAGTATTCGGTTCTTGTCTTCAGTATTAAGTAATTCAGGTAAAGCTTAGCAAGCCATTAGAGAAGGAGGAAACCACTGCTCTCCTAAACAACCATTGTTACATTTTAAAAATTTTACAGGATTTATACCCTAATGAACAATAAAAGTGAAGAAATGGTTGAATTTTGAAATATAAGTTATTTCTTAAAACTATTCTATAGTCTTTCTTTTTCTCTAAAGGAATCAAATTGTGTGCTTTCCCTTAGTTCATGGGATGCACAGGGTTGTATAAATTTCCACAGAAGTAATGTCATTTTATTATAAAGAAACCAATAGAATAAGAAAGGACAAAGAATATAAGAACTGTCTTTTTATAGAAGTAAATTTGTTTTCACTAACATTTCAGTGAAATGTGAAAACGGACGGAGCTTCAAGGGCCTTCACTGGCAGGCGACTGCATTCGTACCCTTCCTTCCCAAGTTTGAAAGCAAAGCGGCTCTGAACGTGACAGCCGGACCACAGGAGGACGCCCGTCGGAGCCCTGAGACTGCTCCGAGGAGCACTGTGTGACCAGGTGCTGAAATGCAGACTGCCCGCAGGGTAGGCTCAGGGCACGCAGGCCTGGAGCGGAGCGCGGGTGTGCGCGGGTGTGCGCGGGTGTGCGCAGGTGCGTTGGCCACAGGGAACCGCGAGCACCCGCGCTGCTGCCTCCGGGGGCAGCGGGGGCCGGCCCGGCCAGAGTAGGGTCGTCTTTTCCTTACAGTAAGAAACGTGAGCCAGGGCGGTCCGGGACGCCATCGACTTTGACTCTCTGGTGGACACACGTGAGAGGCTCCAGCGAGCCTCCCCGTCGGCCTTCTGGAGCTCCCTCCTGTGGGAGCAGAGCAGCTAGGAAAGAAGGTAGATCCTAATAAAGATGGGGCAGAAGACAGGAGACGAGAAGGCCAGCCGAGGGCTAATCCCGCTGAAGAGTCTGCTCCCCGTCCGAAGTTCTGGGCTGATTCAGGACAGCGACCTCAGGGGAGCCCCGCCGCCGAGGACGGGAGCAGGAGCTGAGCTGCCGCAGAGGTGGGCCTTGTGCAGCAGCGAGAGCAGCGAGAGGGAGCCGCAGAGCGCGCTGCAGACCGGGGGCTCCGGGCGCCAGGTGCCTTCTGCCGCGAGGAGGAAGGGCTGCCGTGCCAGCGCTGTGCCTACTACCGGTCCCTGGAGGCAGGGGTCCGCACAGGTGCAATTCAAGAGGGTGCGGTTAGCTACTCTCGGCCCACTGCCTCCAGGGGTCGGAAAGGCCAGGACCAGACTGCGATCAGAAAGTTGATAATAGAAGTTTAATCAAAAACCATGTTGCTGGGTCCGCAAGATAGCTAAGCAGACTAAGAGCCTGTTTAGGCAAGCGCAGGGATCGGGGTTCAATCCCCGATACCGCATTCCATGCTGGCCCTACCCTCAGTGCACTGAGCCAGTAACCCATTCCGGGCATGGTGGCTTGTGCCTGTAATCCCAGCACTGGGGAGGCTGAAAACGGAAGGATAACTACAAGTTTGAACTGCATAGTGAGACCGTGAACCAAATACATAAAATTTTCTTTATTAATTTTATTGAGAAAGAAATAGCAATGACACAGTTTCAAAACAGGTTATTAGAACAGTCACAATAATTAATACATTGCATATTGTTGTCTTCACAGTTATTCAGCGTGCCAGATGCAGACATGATATCCTGTCCAAATACTACCAGCACAAATCTTTATCATTGAACTAGAAGAAAGTAGCTACATATCCATCCTATTTTGTATATACAGATATGTATATATACATACACACATACATAGATATAGATTTTTTTTCCCTTTTCACCACAAAATGGTCCTTTATTTATATCCCCCTCTTTTGTTTGGTCTTGTCAGAGATGGGTGTTCTATTGCCATTCAAATATTGTAGGTGCGTGAATTCAGCAAAATAATCCAATATAGTCCAGTAGTCCATAATAGTAGTGGGTTATCCACAGGACTGGCAATGTCAGAAGTTGTTGACTTGAGCCTTTTACAGCTCAGCATATTAATATGCCTTTATTTTTTATACCTCGTGGTTATACTTTTCTGCTGGATGGTTAAGACCAAGATAGAGCAAGACCTATACAACAAAAAATGTAACTTTTGTATCTGACAAGCAAATAAATAAAATTAAGAAAAAAAACCCAAAAACGTGTTGCTGAAGGCATGTAGGCAGGTATCAGCAACATTCCAGTAAAAAAAAAACTCATAAAACTCTTTATTGTCAAAGCAGCGATCCTGCTGGTGAAAAATGAGCTTTTTTAAAAACTTCATCCTTTGTTTTAAGCATTTTGTAACTTACTGTTTTTAGATGTATAATTTACTCTCCTAGTTGTTCTAGCCTTTGACGCAGGAAATCTTTGAACTCCCTTCTCAGTATAGCTTTTTATTACTAGGCCCTTTCCCCTGGAAAGGCCACATAAACTGGGAAGCAAGCAGGTGATTTCCCTTGTAATAACAGAGTTTTAAAAGATATCAGAAGTGGCAGCTGAGACACACTGCTCAACAGATGGCCAAGAGACTTTTAAGGAAGCTCACAGTTTGGCCGTGGACTCGGGCGCAGTGGACTCCATGATGCATGGTTGTGGTTGATAGCACTTGCACACCCCTCTCCTTACTGCGGCTTCAACTGTGTCCTCTTGATTCCTACAGGTACAGTCTTCATCCAAATCTGGGTGTCTAGAGCATCTCATCTTTCAATAGCCAGCCACGTGCTGTAGGAAGAGCCAGTTATTCAGTCTACCTGGAGCAGAACAGTTTCTGTTACAACTGTGCCACCCTGGAAACACAAAAGCAACCATCAGTGGTGTGCAAATAAATGAGTGTTCCAACAAAAAGTAACTTTGAGAAACGGACAGTGGGGCAGGTGGATGGTTAAGCCCAATCTAGATTATCACAGCGATGTTTAAATGCTTCTCCTACCTTTATCAGGATTAAGATGGGAGCAGAAGCCAGAGACACAGCAGAGTAGTGTCCTGAATGAGGGAGAAGCGACTCTTGTGTGCTGAGTGGCTCTCAGGCAGGTGTGGAAGAGGAAGAAGGAAGAAGCGCCCACTGGATGTGACAGCATCCCCAGAGGGCAGCCCGCATGCTTAGGAAAGAGTAAGGAAGTGACCACAGGCATGGATCGCTCCAGAGAAGCATGTGCGGAGAACAACAGCTTGAGAGTGCTTTTAGGTGCCCTGGGCTGGAGAGGCGCTGGGATCGTCTGTGGGCAGCATGGGAGGAAGAGGGTGGGGCAGGCCATGGGCGTGGGGCATAGCTGACCGACTTCTCAGTCACCAAGGGTGCTGCTGCCAGCCAGAGACGGTGTGTTGCCGGCAAAGGGGAGGAACGCAAGTGTCCCTCAGGTTGTCAGCAGGCAGAACTTGCAGCCCTGAGCATCGTGCTTAGTGATCTGTGATGGTCGCTGTGTAGTCTGTAGCCAGGCAACCCCTGGGATTCTGACTCACCATTTCTGCCCCTATTTTTCTCTTTCACGGCAGAAGATTATGTTTCTACCAGAGGAGGCATATGACAGGCTTTAAAGCGGGTGGAGCCCCAAGTCCTCCCATTGAGGTTTCCTTGGCAAATGCTTAAGTCTGTTGGGAAATGCTTGAAATGTGTGGAAAAGGCTCAGAAAGAAACAAGGAGATCCCTGGATCTTGGAGTGGGAACCCGACCTGGTCCCTGGGCGCATGCTGATGTTGTCACAGCGCATTCCTGATGGCTGCCCATCATCAGAGGTGTGGCATGGGGGTCCAGGTAGAAGCCTGCCCATCTCAGGATGCAGGGCGAACCTGCTGGGGACTGAGGGTGGCGGGAGGAGAGCAGATGGCCCCGAGCCTGGGAAGGGCTCTCCCGTGGGCCTTGTCACAGCACATCTGCCACCTTGGACAACCCCTCAAGGGCACAGGGCCCACCAACAGATTTCATGCAGCTGGTCCTCACCACGCCCCTCCGTGGAAGCCGAAAGCATGACATCAGGCTGCAAAGTCCCTCGAGGTGCTCCTGCCCCGGAAGGCACTGTCCCGTGGCTGAGTCAAGGTCCTGGGCCGCGCCCCTGCCTCCTTGCCTTCCCCCGCAGCAGCTCCGTCAGCTCACTCAGAGTCAGGGATGCACTGGAAGTCTTCTGGGAGCTTCTGGCTTCTTGATGAGAACCCGAATGACTGCCCCGAATCCTGGAGGCGCTGCGCCTGCCACCGTGGACCGCCACAGTTGCAGAGGCAGCGGCAGCGGCATCTCTTCTCTGACTTTTCAGCGCTAATCTAAATAAAACCCTATTTGCTGAAACCATTTTCTTTCGGGTTCCTTGTTACTAGCAGCTGAAAGCATCTAAACTGGCACCATGGCCTGTGTTTCCCACCTTCACTTTCCTCTTAAAGTGGCAAACAAAGCATTCTGCACCCAGGTACGTTCTGGAAGCGCAGTGCCCGAGAGCGTGGAGCACACAGTGCTGCCGCAGTCTCCCTCCAAGGCTCTCCTTCCCTGTGGGGCCCTCCAGGTGGGCGCATCTGATGTGTGCACAATTGCTTGGCCTGCGCTATCTCCGTCCGCGTTGCCTGTGCACAGCCACTTTGAAGAACAGTGCTTGCGGCCCGTGTGCTCCAAGAGTCTCCAAGGCAGGATTTGTCCAGGAGTGGAATTCAAGTTGTCGTGTGAGACCTAGTCAGTTTTTAACTAAGAGAAAGGATGGGGAAGGGCAGGTTCCCCAGCTCTCTAAAGCCCTGCTGCAAGAGCGATGTCCTTAGTACCCCACCTTGTAAGCTTCAGGCCTTTATTAGAAATCTCCAGCAGGCTCTAAGGTGACACCGCCTGGCCTTGTAGGCCTGCAAGATCTTGAAGATGGTTTTCTGACAGAAGAAAGTCAACACCATGGCCTTGTGCTGGGGACACCCAGCCCAGCCCCATTGTGAATCACGCTTCCACTGATTGGTCATCTCTGGCACTTCACTGCGTCTGTGACATTGGCCACACCTGAAAGCAAAGGTCCTTCCTGTGTCTTCTGACCTCTTTATCTACCAAAGCTATCCCGTGGGAATCAGAAGTCCCAACATGTTCCCACAGGGTTTTCACAGACCTGCGCATTTTTTTGTCTTCTGAGATGGATTTTCCTTGTGGGAAACAAACCAATGTTCCAGTTTATTGAGATAGATTTAGTCC